ATCATCGGGCTATAGCTTGTTAAAATGGTAACCTAGGCTACTAGAAGCTAGAAGACGGAACGAATCCAGAAAAGTGACAGGAAATTCCTCGTATATAAATAAAATAATTTCAAGGAAGTTTGCTGGATAAATCTAAGATTTAATCTGACTCGTAAACAAACAAGGTAAAAATGATATTAATTGTTCATTATTGCCGACTTCCGTTCAGGCGGATGACAGCATAATTGTACAATCTAGAGTAATGATAGTATGCACCTTTCCTCAGATCTCGATCTCCTCTGTGACATTAAGGATCTTACTTTCTGATATAATCTACGAGTATCTTCCAGGCCTTCAGATTTCTTACGCATCTAAGTTGTCGTTCTTTATTCATATGGTAGAAATCGTGGAGAAACGTATGTTAATTCCGTTTCTTCAACGATTAATAGATACAGCATTCATAATTCTTCCTTTCGACGTTTTTGTCTGTGTCGTCTCTCATGCAGAACTTCTTTAAATGTATATGAACTAACTTTCCCGGTTATCAGAGCAGCATTAGCGCGCTTATATCGTTTTTTGTACAGTACGGCAATCCTGGTTAGTTTTTGCAGTTCTGACAGCCGCCCTATTGTTTTATGGATCGTCAAGTGAGTTAAATTTGCTCCATCGATGCTTTCAAAATATGTCCTACTGTTTGCACGTCGCCGCCACATTCACAAAGCAGCGAATCCTTCATACACTAACGGTAGCCGCACCTGTCATGTTTAGTACCAACACGGTTTAGTGCGGGCTCTGTCTCAGAGATGAGCAGAACCTTGGGATTTTCTTGATCGGCTCTTCACTCAGCTTATGTTTTGAAAGTCTGGTTTGGTTGAGGATTCGGTAAAGCATATGCGTATGTGTGTCGTCCGCATATGGGTCCGGGAAGGCCTTCATAATTGCAATCGCGCAGATGGCGTAAGACTGATTTCAGTCAGATTGATAGGTTCGAATCTGTCTGGATATTTTCATACTCACGAAATGTAGGTTGCAGCGTCATGTTTGATGAAATTTGCTAACAGTGTCACTGTAGGAGTCTTGGTGTCCGCACTGAGTGCGACATATCTCAGTTTACACAAGATCGATGTAACAGATTCAAGATATTCACTGATAATTACCATCCTCCTTTATAAGAGAGAAGGCAAATGAAAACGTTTGAGTTGATTTTCTGATGTCCTTGACATTCCAACAAGCGGATCATCCAGTTCCATATAAACTTATACTAAAATCGTACATGACGGAGGAGTGACGTTGGCGACTCTTGAGTGAATGAGTGTCAGCTGTAGCCATGTCTGGCTAGCCACAGAAATTGTCATTCAGTCCGCATAGACCGCGAAGACCTTCACAACACGGTGCAATGTGCTATCACCTCTTGTCGTTTGGTTTCCTTGGGACCTGGCAGAGACAATGAAAAATATCTATGGCCTCGTGCTATGTCGTTTGATAGCTTTTCTAAGACTTGAATCTGTGTTATTCAGTCAGTCTAATCTGCCTTTATAGATTTCTGTCGTGGTCAACGGTGAAGTGAAGAAGATGTGGCAGTGTCGGTACTGCCCCCATGCTAGCAAGCGCAGAGCCAATATTCGTATGCATGAAAAGAAGCACTTCAAGGCTAACGCGCTCGGCCTTATGAAATGTCCCAAGTGTAATTACCGCGGTGAGCGTCGATCGTTGAATATCCACTATCGGTAATCATCGTTGTTATTGTTGTTGTTGTTTGTTTCTTTTAATGAGTCATCTTCAGAAACCCGCTGTCGAATAACAACAGTCATAGCATACGTTATATTTATCGGTTGTTAATATTTACTACCTTCGTTCACCTTGCTACCAGCTTTCACGGTGCTCCAAAGGAAAGTATGGAGTAGTTTAAACGAACAAGGCTGTTAATGCAGAGTGCGTTACAGTAAACAAACTCGATTTGTTTTGGTGTCGGGGTATAACTGTTCTTGATGCATTTTGAACTTTAGGGGGAAAAGGCAAGATTTAAATTGTATGTTGATGAGTTTGTAACGAGAACAGTACATGAATTCAAACACCATGCATTCATTGACAATTTAATGATGTAACAGAGGAATTCATGGACCTCGGTACCGAAACGTCGTTTAAGAAACTGGCGGACAGCTACACCAAGTTTGAGTCTACTCACCGGTAGCTCGCCATCTTGAGATGTGACGTCGTTTCTGGTCTCGCTTGAGATTCAGCGGTGTTTGCGCATGTCCTGTATCTAAACCAAATTTTCTCAATTATTAAATAGAAATTATTTGTTTAATTTAAACCAAAACCGATGCTTACATCCTTTTGAAAAATGATGGTTTCAGTGTCGGTGTATTTAAATCAGAACCTGGACCTGGTAAATGACTTGTAATATCTTTTCTCACGTAGTTTATATATAGCTAAGCAGGGGTCTCCATCAGGATATTATCACTTTTAGACTGTCCTGTTTTTAAGGACAAATCTAAATCTAGGTGATCCCTACACAATATGGTCTTCTGATTTTGTCTCACATAGTGGTGCGTATTCATATGCATCAAAAACACGAAACGTAATTTTTTCTTGCCTGGATTGAGACCCATAAACTTCTGAGAATCCGTCCATCTGTCCTCGTACTTGGCGGCAGTATAACGGCTACATTTTGCTGATAAGAGAGTCAGTGACCATCTTGACCATCAGTGACTTTTGCCGCTGACTGGTCGCATGATCGAATCATCACTGCATATCTCTCTAATGCATGTGAAACTGAATGGCAACTAACTGTTTACTATTTTATTTCTGTAATGTGATTGACGGCTTAAATTACTGTCCATGATATGAGAATGGTGTGAGAAAACCGGATAATAAAAGCTTCAGTAGCATAAACCGGGGCTGCTCAGTCGGTTGAGCGTTTGACCTAGAACCAACGGCTCACGGATTCGAGCCCCGGTCGGATCATACTCCTTTGCTCTTTTCCATTTTGATAAATGTGTACCACTCGGAGAAAAGGAAATTGGAGGATACACACTGTGCTTTCCACATAGCTGCTACTCAGCGTTAAAATAAGGAACACTAGCTGATGGCTTGGCAATACAGATATGCACATCACCATTAATTTGTATTATCATATTTTAAAATATTTTCATTCTAGTTCTTTTCTAATGCTCATTTTTCAGTGTTCATGCAGCAGGAGTGCTGCCGGTGTCTGACTGCGTTGCCTGTCCAAGTTGCGCGGCAGTTTTCCGACGCCAGGATTATTTGAATCTTCACATGTTGTATCATACGGGGAAGTTTGACTTTGCCTGCTCACTGTGCAAGTATTCCGTCCCGTCTGAACAGCTGTTGAAAAAGCATATGCGAGTTCACGAAAGCAAGGTCGATTCGGGTACCTTCCAGCTGCCGAGTGAATTCGCGTCGGGTTCGTCTGAGACAAGGCGCAGTCCGGCATTGTTGCAGTATGGCTCGAACGAAACGGTCGCTTCTAATGGCGACGATGAGACGGCCGGTTCAGTGATCAGTTCTCTGGACACGGTCACGTCGTCGGACGAAGAAGAGTCGACGGGTCCGCGGTCGCCACCGGATGCCACCGTTCACGAGGAAGAGGAGGCGGTGGATTGCACGCCGACTGATCTGCGTCAATCATGCGTCGTTGCTACTTCTAAAAACAGTGAACAAGGTCTCGAGGAGCAGGAGCGCCCTCGTGACTTGTCCTCTCCCCAAAACGGCGCTGTTGCTGATCAGTGCATTCCCGCAGACACGACGGAACACTCAGACAATCGCAGGCTTCCCCTGAAGATGTATGCATGTTCTTTGTGTAGTTACTCAGTGCCTTTTTCAATCGACCTACAGAAGCACCTCTGTACTGTACACTTCATCGAAGAGAAGCAAGCGATTGTGATGGTAGAGAAAGCTGACGACGGATCGTTCATCGAGGTTATGGACTACGACGAAGCGCCAACGGTAGACAACGACGGATGTGTGCAGCCACCGGCAAACGACAGGAGCATGGTTAGCCCTAGTATCGTACAGAATGGGGGTCTTAAAATCAAGATCAACCTTGGAAAACGGGTGTCCAACCAGGACAACATCATCTCTAACGGCAGCCAGCTTTGAATCACCATTTTTGATTCAATGTTTCGTTTTTGCCTTCGTTCTGCTGCTCATTTGACGGGTATTGTCTTTGTGTTGATATTTCGTTTTTACTAGCGTTCTTTTATTTCAATTAGTTGAAGACAGCTTCGCCATCCTACGCTCGTTTTCTCAACGAACTGTAAACCATTATGATCACTGTTAATAAAGTTCTTCTATCATTCCGGGGTCGTCGGTATTCGAGCGTGTGTGTGCACGAGGAGAAACGACGTTACGGATTGCTAAATCAACGGATTTTCGCTGGCAGGGCAGACGACTGTTGGCAATCTGGTTTTGAATGCTACTATCAGATATCTCGGCTAATGGTTCAGAATCGAGATACAGATGCGGTTGTTTCAAGTCGATAGCCATAATGAAATATAACGTAATAATCCTCCATCCCACGGCTGGCGATAAAAGTTGTTCCGCGAATGTCATGACTGGTACTCGTAATTTACTATGATAGTGGTAGGGTGAGCAAGCTCTTATTTGCTCTAATAATGCTACCGTGCCTGCTTGTAAGAGTTTCTCAGCTGATTCCAGTAACATGCTAGCTATACTGCTCGAGTCGGGAAGTTCGTACATTTACAAACTGCAGGTGTTAAGGTGCCAGATCCAGATCCAACTCGCGCTCATTACAGGAGCTGGTACTCCTTAAATGCAGGAAAGTATGTTCGTATGCCAAAGTATAAGATGAAATCAGATCACGGAGTAGTTATGCGTGACCTTAAAATCAATGTTACAGTACCAGTCAGATCTTCAGGTTCAATTATAACTGTGATTCCTGGTTCGTTCAGTTTGCGCAAGATAGCAGTGGTGAAGAAGCTGTGATACTGCGGTCAGAGCCACATTATCCGTTTTCTAGTAGACTTGAACGTTTGTTGCTGATGCTTGGGCATCGACGCGTCATGAGCATTTGGCGATAATACCAGATGCTGAAACCCGCAAGTACCAAGGGAATAAGGAATGGATGATCTTGTTTTTCATTTTACCCAGGGGAATGCACCTGAGTTAGAACAAAGTTCTGCTAGGAAAAAACTCGTTACTACGTTACTAGTGCTGAAGATCTGATTCACTATATCTCCGAAAAAGTGGCATCACTCGTTGCATGGAGTCATGACGTGCAAGATTAATTGTTGCTAACTGTCATGTCTCCACTTACTCATTGTGAAAAAGTGAATAGTCGATGTATTCGCACAATGTGGGGTATAATGTACTGAGTGAACAATTCATTACGAAAGTTGCGAAACGGAGACGCAAATCCACTTGCCATCTGATGCTTATCGCGTTTGCATACTCAGATTCATAAATTGCCTGCAACGCAGAGTTACCGTAGCCAACCGGTCTTTAGACAATAGGGAGCAGGTATGGGGAGGGACTCAGATTTAATAGTTAAGTTACGGAACCTTTAGGTAACGAATTTTGCTTCAGTCACACAATTTGACGCACTCCGTCCCACCAGTTAATCGCACTTTAAATAATATACTACATCATATTATCTTTTGGTAAGTCACAAGCGCAATACAACGCATCAATTGTTCCTTAATTAGGAACATCTGACGTTTTGGACCAAGCTTAGTCCGTCTTCAGAGTCCAAGTACCAGAGTACCGAGCGTGGTCCGAAACCAGATGTCCCTAATTAAAAAAGTTTTATGCGTTGTCTTCCCGTCTGTGACTTACCAACAGATTATGTCATCGCTTGCAGGAACAAATCATGTATGAATGCCTGGTCTCATAAAGGATCGATCAATAAAGACATATATACATAACCCCCGGCATATCCATGTACTATTACCCTGTTGCATAATCCTTTGATAAGTTATAAGCCGGAAGACAGGGCTTAAAATGTTCTTTAATTATGGACATCTGACGTTTCGGACCAAGCCCGATCCATCTTCAGAGTACCAAAAATAGCATGAAAAGTAGAACAATGTACATATCTAATTTGTCCTGCTGGATTTTTCTTCTGAAGTTCTCAAGAGATGACAGTGGTTGCTTTCTATTGATAATCGATCATCGATAACTCGTCGAAGCATCCATTGCTGTCTGAACTTTCAAGAGTCTTGAAGCAAATAACTGGGCTTGAACCTATGTCGAAGTATCAGATTCCTGCAACTTTCAAGAAGATTTCATTATCTGTTGTTTTGCAGTAAAAAATGTTTTGCATCTATACACTGCAGTACCCGAAATCCATGGAGTTCTGGCTTGCTTAAATCGCCCACTAGGCCAATAGAAGACAGGGTATGGCGCCTGTGATCCAGTAGTAGAAGAAAAGTATTATTTCTTTTAACGGCGGCATTAAAGACTAGCAGCATACCAGTATACCGATATGAATCGAGTTTATTTTTATGTATCTGTTATGTTGCTGTAGATAATCATATTCCATCGCCGCTTCTCCTTTTGGGTCGCAGAGGCAGACGCGTCAGACAATGCTTCCAACGTTCCCGCTCCTGTGCCAGAGTCTCAGCTTTGGCAAAGGACAAATGGAGTCTGGAACAGACTCCTTCCATATATTTGCACCAAGTTAATCTTGGCCTCCCCTCGGCCTTCTGCCGGACGGATTTGCAAGGAACAGCTGCTTAGCCCTCCTTTCTTAGCTCTCCTTTCTGGATTCGCAACACGTGCCCAAGCCATCGCTGCTGTGACTTCTCAATCTGGAGAAGCAAAACATGTATTACAAGGCTCTTCCGGATGTCACTATTCCGGACTATGTCGAGACGCGTAAGGCCAGCGACTCGTCTAAGAAA